TAGACCTGACAGTAGTATTAAATACAATTTATTCCAAATGCCTTAGATTCTGAATAAAGTAATTTAAATACACATATTTATTTAGATGCTGGAGATGTAACATCCAAGCCACAGTATATAGTATATACAGAATCACCAATAAAAAAGATACAAAATCATGTTTGCATCATATTTTTGAATAGTTACTATAATCAAAGCTATAAGCGATGTCTCATACAAAAAAAGTACAAACATTAATAAATAAAAGATCTCGTATGTTTTTTTATGAGAACTCGAATGGATACGTATGTTTTTTATGAGAACGTCTCAAAACTAAAATGAAAGAAAATCACTCTTGAATCGTCAAACATTAATAAATAAAAGAACTAATGCATTTATATTATAAATTATGTCTTTATTTTGTTATTAAGTGTCTTCTTAAAAAAAATTATTGACTCATTTTGCATATATTTTTGTTGGGGTTGTAATATGTTATTTTATTCTGTTTACATTAGTACATCGTTATGTTATTTTGAAAAAACAAATACATTAGGACTTCATTTGTTCTACATTTTATTTTGTTCTTGTAATGATATGTTTAATAAATTAATTAATTTATATTACTAAACTTAATCGGCAAAAAACATTCGTCGCCACGTGCGATGCACGTGCACTTTACTAGTAAAAAAACAGTACAAGTAGGACTTTTAGAGTTGTTCTCTAACAAACTTTGTTATGTATGGACAAATTTCTAACAACTGTACCATCGCACTAGCCAGCAGCCACGTCACCCAACATACACGTACTTTTTTGGCTGCCATTCCATGCAAAGCAATAAAAACCCACCACTTTATGTAAAGTAGAAAAGGCCTTACCTTTCCTTAATGTTGTTAACAAGGCCCAATCGAGTTAATCGCCTTTTGGGCTCACTGTTTTTTTAGAACATTACTTTTTATTCTATTAAGTTATTTTAATTTAGCAAATAATTAGGGCTGCAAACGAATCGAGCTGCTCGAATTAATGTTCGACTCGAGCTCGAGTTGAGTTCGAACAATTCAATCGACCGAGTATAGAAAGATGGTGTCCTATTTTGGCATGGTCCAATTATTATTGAGAATGCAGTTTTTTCACATTTACAAAGACATGATATCCATCCACTGTTTCCTACAGTGCGATCAGTTTAATTTAGGATATGTTTGGTAAAACTAGTTGATAAGGTAGCTAATAGCTGATAATATAACTTATAGCTTATCAGTAATTTTTTAGCTTATAGGTTATAGCTTATGACTTATAGTTGAAAAGCTAGCTTATATGATAAAAGTGTTTGGTAAAATTAACTGATAAGCTAGCTGGAATAAAAAATTCAACTAGCTTATTTGAAAAGTTACCTAAAGTAGTTTATCATATAAGCGCGAACTTTTTAAAAAACATCGTCCTACAAAACGAGACTTATTTTGAATACAGGGAGCTCACAAGCTAACCAAATAAGCTGTAAACTAGCTTATTTGTCTACCAAACATAGTTTAGTTTTCACTAGCTTCTTGATAAGTTATGCTCCTCATAGCTGGATTGGGCCGACGTTTCAGATGGGCCGATTTTTAAGTTACTGACATTGTGCCAGTCTTGATAGACTCAGCCCATAAGTTAAAAAGTAGTCCATACTAATGGGCTTCATACAACTTGTCGGGCTTTGGGAAGAAGCTTTCTTAAATCGAATACAACAGCCCATTACTAACTATATGCATAACGGAGTGTGTGTGTGTGTTTAGAATATCGTCTTCATGTTTGCGTACAATGTTAAAATTCAAATTACAGGACAAAATTTAGCAGATGTATGCTGGCAATGGCAAAACGGGATATTCTAACTTTGTCCAAATTTAGAAATTAACCTTATTGACAAGAAATTCAATGATCCATAAACAAATTCCAAATATCGAAATAATATCTGTACTTTGTCTGCAAAGTTTTTTCAAGCAATGGCAAAACACAACTTTCCTATTCCAACAAGTGAACTATTTCAGTCAATTTAACTATTTGAAGTTTCAAAAATGGGGCGCATGTTAGATTCTTTATAAATATTATATACAAGATTTATTTGTTAGTGTGATTTTTTTATTTTTTTATCTTTCCTTTCAATTTCAAGAAAAATGTGCATTATCTGAATGATACAATGAGGGGGAGAATTCCACGGCTAATAATGTGGTCGGTACTCTAAAGAATTGGTGAAAAAATGAATTTGATGATCATTCAAGAAATTTCGGTCAATACAGAAAGTGCCTTTTACCGTTTAGTCTAAAGTAAAAGAAAAAAAAAAACTAGCAATCAATCAATTGGATTACCAAATATGGAATATTCACGAATATAGAATTTAAATGCATTATGCCATGTTATCTCTAGCTGGTTGAGATCTGCTTTTATAAATAAAACGAGTACAGATCCCGTGCGATGCACGGGGTGCACAAAATTAAGACTATTTATCAAGTCTTATAATTATATAAACGAATAAAAAACAATGTACGGGATATATATAGTACGTGACCTGTAATAGGCCAAAATGTGAACACGGGTGATGCACGGGGTGCACAATTTTAAGGTCATTTATTAGTACAGAGTCTGTGCGATGCACGGGGTGCACAATTTTCTAGTATGTGTAATACAAATACATACCGTATGCACGGGACAGAAGGACTAAATGAGTTATTTCCACATAGCTTGCCCGTTAAGTAGCTCCTGAACACGGGTGCACAATTTGTAGTACGTACTATGAAATCAGAACAGATTTTCATACATTTAGATAATAAATTAGATAATAAATAAAGCCTTTTTTATGTTAGTAAAGATTTTACGTACTTTTTTTTACTTATCGGATGTTATGGGATTTTTTTGTTAAACCAATTTTATGGGATATGATACAAATACAATTAGAGGATTGAACAAAATCAGAACAGATTTCTATACAATTAGATAATAAGAAGGAATTACATAAGGAAAAGAAGAAATTAGATAAAGAATTTTGAATCAACCTTTTTTTAGTATAGATAGACTTTACGTACAAATTTTGACTTCACCGATTTTATGAGATTTGTTTTGACAAAATCAAAGATGAATACTGAAGACTGTTTTTATTAACATTTACAATATGTATTTAATGTTTTTTTTTTTTTGGCAAAATATTATTTTTAAGTGTGATATATAAATATTAAAAATACTTAAAATATTTTATAACATCTATAAAAGCATCTAAAATATTCTATATTATTCACAAATAATGTTTGAAACTACCTAATAATGTTCTGAGAGCTTCATTAATTTAAAAGTGTAAAATAAATAAATAAATAAATGTACAACTGAAAAAGTTACAACCAATTGTATGGAGAATTAAACTAAATCTAATTTTGTAGGATACATTAAATATTTATTAAATTTTATATGTAAAATAAAATAAAAAAATAACTGGAATAGTTTTACGTGTTGCAATATTTTATATTTAAAAAAATTAAAAAATCTTCTTTTACGTATTGCATACCAACATTTTAGGAACTACATGAATATTCCTAAATTAATATTGCATATCCAATATTTTAGGAATTAATTAAATGCTAATTTGATTTGCATACCAAAAATATTAGATGCATTAATTAAATGATTGATAAAAATAGCAAATAATATTAGATGCATTAATTAAGGTTGACTATTCTACATACTACATTTAGTAAATAGTATAGCTTTTAATATAAGTATAGATTATTAGTTATGTATGTTTGTGAATTAGATGATGGAAACAGGGTCAGTGTCATACAAGTTGTTATAATTGTCTTCAATTGGCCCATAATTGAATCAAATCAATCAATTGCAATCACTACAATGATATCTTCTGTACCGATTTGATTGAAACCGATCAATTCTCCTCAATCGTATGGTTTTATTTCAGAAATCTTCCATCTATGAACAAGTCAACTGATATAACTCAATAAATTTTTTGCATATGTTTTTAACTTATAGCACTTTCCGAATAAAATTATCTTATAATTTATAAAGCGTTATAAAATAAACCAAATAAGCTATTCCAAATTGATCATATTTGAAATCAAGTTATTCAAACTCAAACATACAAATGCAATCAAAGAACCATTGAAAATCTTCTTTACACTGTTTGCCAACCGATGTATGAATATTGCTTGCAACAACTTGAACCTTAAAATTGATCCAGAATTTTTTTTTCTTTGCCGCTAATGAATAAAATGCTTTTATTGGATTGGAATTTGGAGATGTGGGGTAGGTCATTGGAAAGTCAAAGGGCTCTAGTTTCCAACAAAAAATACAACAATAAAAAAAAAATTAAGTACGAAAAGAGTTATGACAGCTTGAATAAAATGCTACATAAATTTATATTTATTTTATGTCTTTCTATCTTGTAAATCTTGTCTATAAGGCTCCATCGTATTAAGTAAAAAAAAAACGATGAACATAATTTGAAAGTATTCCATATCTTGAGTTTTAAGCTTGTTTTGAGAAGTTTATCTTCTTATTTACTAAAAACTCTAGGTGAATATCTAAAGTGGGTGAGTCTTGAATTGAGTTTGTCTTGTGTTACCTTCTATTTTTCTTATTTTCTGGTGTAAAAAGAAATATTAAAATTCCTTCAAATGCTAATATACTATCGAGTAAATTATCATTAGCGTATCAAAAGAGACACGAAAATAAAAGTAAAATACTAAAAACTGAAAATCAGAAAAGGGGTTAATTTAATTATAACTTTATAAGGTCTCATGCATTCTTCAGTTTTCTGAGACCAAACCGTAGCTCTTACAAAAGCATAATTTCCAGCTTAAAGACACTAATTAGCTAGATTTTCCGACAACAGACTAGAGCTTAACCTATACAACACTTGGAGATAAAACGCGTAAATTCGAAACTAAGAGACGACGGATTTTCTCAAACAAAATCTCCGTTCTCAAATTCTTCGAACTCGATGGCTTTCTTTCATCCAGCCCTTATGTAAACACACCTTACAACTTGTACTACAAGTTAGATCGTGTCATAAGACGATCTACAAATAGCTCTAAGGCTTCCTTCATCCACCAATACTGACAAACTTGTCGAGCCTCTCCTACACTTACCTGTCCGAAAATTAAATCAACTTTTCAGTAACTAGAATTTGATG